AATAATTATATATATACACATATATATAATTGTTATCGGGCACAACACACCTTTTGCATATTTCACATAATTTGTTGTTGTTTCTGTTTTGCTTACGCTTTGCGCTTTTTATTTTTTTACTTTATGCCATTTGCTGGCCCCATTGCTTCGCTGCTCGACACTCACATTTAAGTTACGTATGTATTTTAAAGATTGGCTTCGCTTCGTTTTATAATTTTATGTTTCGTGGAAATCAATAAAACACTTGAGCTCGTTTTTTTCGACTTTTTATTAATAAAAATTGCATTTTTTTGTAAAAGTCAGTTTCTTGTAAGGCTCATTTGCACTCGCTGAACGGCGTTGCCAGACTGACCGAAATGTGCTTAATTGGCAAATTGAAGCCGTCTCTGCAAAATTGGCATATTGATAATTTGTTGATAATGGCAGGGCAAAAGCGGAAAAGGTAGGGGGCCGACGAGCAGCTAGTCAATGAATTGGGTCATTAGACCCCACAACGATGTGAGCACTTATGAAGTAAGCAGAGTATATTGGTTGCTCTGAATTGGCAATTTTATATATACATCTTATAGTATATAAATATATTTATTGGTTGATACATGAGAGACAGCTTAAAGTCTTTTCGTTTCTCTCACTTTTGCGACCTTTACAATTTTTTCTATAGGCCTTGTTTGCAAAGTAATATTAAGCTTTTATAGCTAGGCCCTTTGCAGGCGTGGCATAACTAAACTTTCTCTGGGTTGACAGCTTCAGCTTTTGCCAAATGAGAGAATGTTAAGCTGATCTGCGGAGATGCCCTCACCCACTTTTGCACTAACTAACTTCGTTGTAACTAACTAAATTTAGTTATTATTCCATTGCGAACGAGTATTGTGCAGTTGGTAACGTTCAATTGGAACATTCTTTCATTATCTTTCTTTGTTGTTTGAGGTAATGAGCTCAAAGCTAGGCTAGAGATCGAGAACAAAACAGAATTGGCATATGCTAATTGTCTTTAGTGTGCCGCCTGTGTGTACGTGTGTGTGTGTGTGTGTGCAGGTGCGTGTGTGTGTCTGCGTCTATCTGCCCACAAGCTGAATGATCGCAGCTGGTTTTCTATGACGGCATGACTGTGTAAAAATTCACAGCAACGCCTTGAATGAAACGCCACGCTATTTTTATTTCTTTTAAATATATTTTTAGTTTTATTTTTAAAAAGGTTTTTTTTTCTTTTTATAAATTTTGCATTGTGAATGTCGGCTTTTGACTTGGATAGCTGACTGAGTCATGAGTTGTGGCGTTTGTTTCATGGGTTAGACGTCATCTTGGCAACAAACGAGCTTGTCTTATAAGCTAAACATACGTTTGGCTGTTTCAGTGTGTGTCTGTGTGTGTGTGTGTATATGCACGCGCAGGTAAGACAACAAAAATCACCTGATGTTTTAATTGCGGCGCGTCATCATTTCGACTGCGTAAACGCGGTCAAAAGCAAAGCCAAAGAAAACGCCAAGAAAGAGACAGAAAGAACGAGAAAGAGTAAGAGAGAGAGGGCGTAAGTGAGAAAGAGTGTAGAGAAAATGAAAGCAAATGGCAAAAAGGCGCAGCTATAAAAGAATTCTAAACGCTATAGTTCAATAAACCAAGACTTAACGGTAACTCGTAAAGCGCTGACTCTACAGTTCAAATTATACAAATATATGTATATACATACCCACATACATACCTATATGTGCATAATTGTATATCGACTCGTGTTGAACAGTGTATTTCATTTTGCATATCCAATTGGCAGACACTTGAATCAAGCAGCCGCTAAATTGAGCTAAGGTTCAGTTACTTTTTCATATACTTATATATATATATATGTGTTTATCTATTTATAAACCGTTAGATAAATAAAATTTGCGAACGAAAAAAAAACACTTTTATTATATGACGGCGCACGGTGAGCGCGACTTAAGTGTGCCTATAAAAAAGAGATTTCCACAAATTTAAATATGCTCACACACACACACGCACACACACACTCGTCTGGCGAAATTTTGCAAATCGCTCGCCACATGATGTGATTTTTTACGATTCGCTTTTTATGTTTTGTCAACACTTAATTCTACTTACCATATGACATACACATGCATATGGAGCTCAATATATTTGACTACCCTTCTATATATACCACATACATACATATATATATAAATTCCTATTTATATTTTTGTATACATATCTACATCTACAAAAGAAATGACGAATCTGTGTTATATATCATTTGTTGCCCCATTTAATTTGTGTCTGTTCTTTTTTTGTTTTGTGGATCAAATAATGACCGACAAACATTCGAGTTGAGTCAAAGGCAAAAGAGTGAACAATCCTCTTGAATACCCTGTTCATTAGTTTATTGAGGTAGAGTCGATGAGCAGAGACTGAGTTACAGAGAGTTACAGTTAATGCTTAACTAATAGATTTTTAGGTTAGAAGATATGGTATATTTATATATTATATGTATTTGTAATAATTTTTGATTTGTATTTTATTTAAGATTTTAGAGGTAAATAATTGTATTTTGTATTATTCTTTATACTTACAAGATCAGATTTTTTATACTTTTGTAGATCTTTAGCTTCATATTATACTTAATCTATTTCTATAAATATATATTTCCCTTTGATTTCATATATACAAATTAATTACTTTCGCTAACTCGTAGCCTTTCATCACATCTAACCAGTTTGGTCGGATTTCAGGCAGAGTAATTGTTAATTTGTGACTTTATTTGCAAGTTAATGAAATTTGTATTTAATTAACAAATAAATTATATGTTCTCATAAATTAAAATATAATATAATTCGACTGAGCTGATGTCTATGAAATCATTCTTATTGTAGATACTCGTTTGTATACCGAGCGCATTTCAGCTCTCAATTTATTAGGGTTATAAAATCGTTTGGGAGAGTTTGTTCATTGTTAATGTTTATTCTACATTCATTTATTTTGCATGTGTAGGGCTTAGAATTTTTGGGGTTAGACTGTCATTTAAACTCGATTTAAGAGTTTACTTTAAAGATTTTTCTCAGTTATTTTAGCACATCTCGCAGATTTTCAGAGCTTCCGTCTTAATAGTACTGTTTAATAGTAATAGCTAAGGAGTCCTTACATATTGTTCAGTTAAGTTCCCCCTTAAGCTATAAAATCGAAGAAAATAGTGCTTTATCTTTACTAGCGAAAGAATAAAGATAATCTTCCCTTTTTGAATTTTCTTTTAGCATAATATATTTATATATATTTATATAGATTCCTATTCTTTTATTCTACATCAAATTCACTCCAATTTACAGGGTATTTAATAGCTACTATCTCTGTATAGCTAACCTGATTAGTTGTATTTCTTGTTAATGTGCTTTTCGTCTTTCTCATTTCATTTTTGTATTCTTTTGGAAGCATCGAGTCAAGGTTAGCGGCATTTGTCATCATTTAAGTTAAACGCTAATGCTAATGCTCTTGTTGCTTCTGCTGTTGTTGTTGTTGCTGCTGTTGATTTCCTTCAATTTGCGAAAAAACAGTAATATTTGTTTTAAGTTGAAATGGCATCAAATGGCACTTGACTGTCGCGCATATTCGAGCTAAAGCTCGCATTCAAATTCTGAACTTTTAGCTAATTTTCAGCATCCTGTTTGTGAGCGTACATATATTTTCTCTACTTGATCAATTTAAGTAAAATCACAATCAAATTATGATAGGAAATATATATATATAATATATTTTTTAAATTTTACTGAATTGCAATTAAGCGCATTTAATTGCAATTTAACGCCAACTTGCTGCTCGACTGGTTGCGCACAGTTGGGAAGCCGAAAATGGCATTAAAATTCCGCTGCAAAAATTGACAGATTTTGTTTTTATTTTATATTATTTTTTTGATAAATGCAACGGGCGACTGTGTCTGCGGTTTAGCATTTCCAGCCGAAGTGAAAGTCTTTTGGCCAAGGCAATTTGTCAACACCAGGCCATTTGAAGAAGACATTTGTGATTTGTTGCGGCTTTGCTGGCAGCACTTGTTGCTGGTTGTTGTTGTTGTTGCTGTTGTTGCCGGTTGTCACTTGTATTTGGCCATGTTTAACCAAACGCAATGACACAATTTGTTAAGACCGCATTTCACATGTCAAAATGTGAGCAACAACAACAGCAACAGGTAGAGGCAGCCGCAGCAGCAACAGCTGCTTATAGGTGAGTCTGACCTTGAGCCTCGCTCAGATGTATCTCAGGTCCAATTTGCATGCTGCTCCTTGTGATTTGTTGTGGTTCCTGTTACTTGCTTTTGCCTATGTTGAAGGACAGGCAATGATAGACAGAATCGTTGACAAACTGCAGCAGCAACAGCAGCGGATCTTGAGCTTGTCACTCTCTCAGATACTTTTGTATCTCGAGCTCAAGTTGAGGTAGACTTTTTGCAATGATGAGAGTACATTCCATATAAAGAACTGCAGCAGCATCTGCTTCTAGTTCAGCCTGACCTTAGGTAAGTTTCACTCTCAGCTAAATTTGTATCTCAAACTCACTCGTAAATTGTTCATCTGAAGAAAAATATTTCTAATTTGTCATGCCTACTTGTGAAGACCGCAATTCACATGTCAAACCCTAAGAAGCATGACATTGAGTCTGACACTCCCTCGGCTACATTTTGCAGCTCAAGCTCAATTTACACGCAGCAATGTCTCATTTCAGCTCAGTTATTCGATGACGATATTCGTGATTTGTGAAAACCACAATTTACAGTTGAAAATGCAGCCTGACCTTGAGCCTGACACTCTTTTCGGATACATTTGTATCTCCAGCTAAATTTGCATATGCCGCTGTGTGAGTGATTGCATGTTTGAGTGTGTGTGAGTGTGTGTGTGTGCTGCCTCATTTCCAGTTGGCATTTTCTGCTTGGTCGCGCTGCCCCGCATCATTATCTGCAACAACAACAACAGCAACAACAGCGCCTTAATTATGCATGCTTGCCACCAATTGCTGCCCTTAGCAGCAACAGCAGCTGCTGCACATGCGTCCGCATTTATTTTTTGCCAAATATATATACATATATATATGTATATATATATGTATAAATTGGTCGCATATTGGCGCGCCGCTGCGCAAACAGTTGCCCATAACAAAGGAAACAAATTCGTTGGGTGGTGGCAAAGCTTTGGCTGCTGCCCTTACACAAAAAATTTTTATTTTGCTTATGTCACGAAAGTGACGGCATATAACGTATATTCCTAATGACAGCGAGGTCTATCGAAGTACTCGCTAGATTAGACATTAGATTGTAATAACTGAATCTATAGATATGTCGAATGTGGGGTGTATTTCTGATTTATTCTCCTTAGGCATATCAAACGAGTTAACATTAGTCAACTAACATTTGATGTGAAGCAAAAAAATCTTTAAAATAAAATAATAATATAGATTTCTCAAGGATAACGCATTTCATAGATGAAGCGAACTTTTAGGGTTTTCTAAGCTCTTCTGTTTTTTACTGCTTTAAGTTTGAATCTTTATTTCAATCAGCAATATCTATCCCAAAGCTTCTGATATTCTTACAAGATTAACATTCACAATTGAAATTAACATAGATACTATCACAAACCAATTTGTCTACTCAAGAACTCAAGTCTCGATTGCTCAATGAATTTCTTTAGAATGAAATGTACAAGTCGGCTGAGCATTAGCTCAACTAAATCTGCTGCTTATCAAAAACTACAATCTAGATATAGATCTAGATAGAACACAATCTGCAAGGGTATTTGGCTTTAAGCAGTTCACAATGCAATTCACAATGGAAATGGCAAATGTAATTAAAGTTATATCTAATCTCTCTAGATCAGCGTGACCCAGCAGAAACATAGATAGCTAGACAGACAGTTAACTATCAGAATGGCAGTAAAAATATCTGCAGCTAAATGTAAATAGACGACACGAGCGACACTTCAATTGAAATAGAAAGAAAAACTTGGATTATTATCATCCAGCTGAATATTTGGGCTTGAAATTGAGGAGAACTTTTGAATTATTCAAAGTGCAATGCAAATGCAGTTGCAGTTGCAATTGCACTTGTCGATTATTGTGAGGCCTGACAATCAGTGTACCTCACATCACATCGAGGCTCTGATTTATGTATGCATTATTATTCCATTGTTCTAAGCGACGTTTTTTGCGGTCAAAGACGCTGCTGGCTGGCTTATCAGCCGAAGCTGGCTTGCGACTGTGGCTATGGCAGAGCGCGAATTGTGCTTAAATTGCAGCCACGAGGCAGACGTCAATCAGTTTGCGTTGCTCAACTAATAAATGCTCACAAGCACATACATATGTATATAGACTCTTCTATATGTATGTGTATATGCTCACTTACATACGGTTACAACGGCTGGAGATTAAAAGCACGCCGCTTGTTAGTCTGACAAAACACACTCGACCTCAACCCCTTAACCCACACTTAACGGGCTTGATCTTTATCTATATATGTGTATACATATATACATAGATATAAATGTATATATATCTGAACATTTAAGTTTTTTGCTGACAGGTGATTTACTTAATTAAGAGCTTTTCTTTTGTCTGTGTGTGTGAGTGTGTGTGTGTGTGCCGCAGTGAAAGTCATGTGATAAATGCCTAAGATTTATCTAATTCAAGTGCTCAAAATTAATAACAATAGTTACAGCATACGAAAATGAATGCTTAGCTATATATAAATTGCGGGCAACCAAATTCATTGATAAGTCAGCAGCAGCAACTTGCGCATAGTTAGTTGACTTTGATTTAGTTGACAGATAAGTGGAAGCTTTTACTCATTTAAGAGAGAGAGAGAGAGAGAGAGAGAGCGACATAAAGAGAGAGCCAAATAGATTACGACACTATATAAGTGACTTCTATTCTCTCATTGCTTGTTGATTAATAGTTAAAAGTATGGATTTGTTGTTGTTGTTGTTGTTGTTGATGCAACGCCTAACACACTTTAACGCCTCGTCTAAAATTTCTGTTTGATTAATATTTGATGAGTTCTTTAACAACTACAAGCATTATATACATTTTTTTTTCTACGTTTCTCTTAATCAATAACTGTTCATTATAACGAATCAACTTATATTATTAACAAGGAATTTCTTTGAACTAAACTGATGACTAAATATTTAATGATTCTTTGGAGAATTTCCCATTGAGAACTGAGAGTTAAGTGAATTCCCTGCTAAATTGACAAATCTTTAAATAATAATTTAGTAAATTATTTTTATTTAATTACAGAGATTAAACAGGTAATCATCTATCTATCATTTTACAGAAGTAATGTTTTATTTATTTATTTTTATCTTGATTATATAAATGTTCTTGAGATATTTTCTTTAGAATTTACATATATGATTAAAGGACTTACTTGTAATAAAGAGATATGAATTGAACCCTCCTAAGCTTAACCCCTCCCCCATTGATTAATTTCCTTCTTTTACATATCATTAGTGCAACTCTTTAAAGATTCCCTAGAAACTTTAATTTGAACTTGAAGTTGGCTACACTGCAATTTCTGAAGTTCTTTAAAATACTTGAGTGCTTTGCACTGACTCATTCAGTTTTGCCGCAGTGAAGCGAGTGTGTCAGGTGCCTGAGCTGTTGCTGATGTCACAGTCCACGTAAATGGTCGCACACCAAAAATTATCTTGTCGAACTTAAGAACTTATCAATACAACAAAATGGCAAAACAGAACAAAAACAAAAACAAAAAATAGGAAAAGAAATATTAATTACCTGTGGGTAGATAAGGTTGTCAATGCCTGGCCAAGCTTAAACAAGCTATAAGCGATAAAGAAATCTAAGCACGATAGCGACTGCTGATAGATATAGAAAGAGTATCAAAGAGAGAAGGAGCGAGCAATAGAGAGAGGGAGAAAGAGTTGACGAAATATGACGCAACACACAATTTCCTATTGTCAACGCCAAATGGCGTTGCGATCAAAGCTCATGGAATCGACTAGACACAGCTAGGTAGTTGCCATTATAGCTTCACGGTACTCGGAACTCAGCAAACTATAGACGAAACACCCGAATTAATTCTCTCTTTATTTGTTTTGATTTCATTTGCAGCCCAAGAGCGAATCAAGCATTAGAGATCAGCCATGGAGCGCATGAATCTGTTCGCTTTGCTGGCCCTGCTGCTCTGCATTTGTGCAGCAGCCAAGCCCGGCGTCTACTGCCCCGAGGACTGCAGCTGTTCCCTGTCGCAGCACACACACAAGCCCCTGCTGCACGCCAAGTGCAACAGCACGAATGGCCTGAAGTTGACGGATGGGCCGTTGCCCGCTACAATACCCATACATTCCATAGATCTGTCCTATTTGGGTCTGACGCGCGTGGGACATGTGCTGGATGGGCTGACCAATTTGACCTCGGTGGATCTGTCGCACAACGACCTGCATGAGCTGGGTCACCTGAGTCGCCGCATCAAGAGGCTGAACCTCAAGCACAATCGCTTGACATCTGCCAAATTGTTGAAGCTGCCGCAGCAGCTGCAGGTGCTCAACTTGCAGCACAATGACATCACAACGCTGCCCATCGAGCTGACACACTTGCAGCATCTGCAGCAGCTGGAACTGGGTCACAACAATATCAATTGCTCGTGCCGCACACTGGAGGTGCGCAACTGGCTGCAGGAGCGACATGTGTATATGGAGAAGCCGGTCATCTGTAGCCTGCCGGCGGAGGCGCATGGCAAATCCTGGCTGCAACTGAAGCAATCGGACATTTGCGAAAAGGAGCAACGCGGCTGGTATGCCACAGAGGCCGATGAGAACGAGCTGATGATGGGCGATCAGCCGCTGCCCGATTCCAACGAGGAGGAGGAAGAGGAACAGGAGCTGGGCAAAGACTATCTGGTCATCGCTGGCAAGAAACCGGTGAAGGCACCAGAGGCGCCACCGGTTGTGGAAAGTGATGTCGAGGGCTCGGGCGATTTGACTGAAATGAATATGGAACTAGTTGCCGCTCAACAGGCATCGGAGCAGGTGCCCGTCGTGGCTGCAGAGCCAAAGACGGAGCAATTGGTGGGTCTGCCACAGCCCGACGAGTCCGAGAACGAGGAAGAGGAGGAAGGTTCCGGCAGCGGTGACGATATGCTGATTATACCACACATTGCCACAGACCACGTTCATTCGGATGACTTTGAGCCGCCCGAAGATTCTGAGTCGGAGCGTGACGATAACGACGACAACTACGACAATAAGCCAGTGGAGCAGCCGGAGCAGCCATCGCCGGATATTTTCAAGAACATTGGCATCTTCGAGGATGGTAAAATAGAACAACCCGAAGAAGTTAGCGAGGAGACAATTGTGCCGGCGGTGCAGACTAAACTGGATACGGGTGCACCTACCGATGTCGTCACAGACGGTCCTATTGACTCGGACAAGACTTCGGATGACATACTGTCTGCCAAGATCGGTAAGAAGGATGACAGCAATGCCATCTACTTCCTGCTGGGCGTCATTGGCCTTATTGTGCTGGGACTCATACTGTTCGTGGCCATTAAGCGCTGCAAGTACAACAACAATGCGGCGGCAAGAGATGCGGAGGCACAGCGTCAGACCGAGCTGCTGGATATGGATAAGAAGAACTTGGGTAAGCCCTTGGCACGCAACGGTCACGAACACTCGCCATTGATTGGCGAGAAGACGAAGCTGGATGAGGCACAGATTGTGAATGGATCGGGCAAGAAGCCGTACGATAGCAAAGACGGTGCTGGACAGCAGCCGCTGCTCAATGGCAATGGAACAGCCAATGGAGATGCCAAGGAGGTGCCGACCATCAATGAGCCCGCTGGTGCAGATGCAGCACCACATGAATACTATCCAATCACACCCCGTTATCCCACACCACAGTCGCCGCGTGCCTCCAAATATGCGCAGCATCCACAGTCCGGCGATGCCAATGAGCAGAACAACAACAACAACAATGAGCCGGATGGCTCCTATTTGCCTTCCTCGCCAAAATCTGGTCGCTACTCGCCTGTCTATTCACCGGAGACTGGACGTGTCAAGATCAAGCTGACGGAGACGCCCAAGCCGAAGACTCCGATGCTGGTCACGCGCAGCAAATCCAATGCTGGCGATATTATCACAACGCCCGTTAAGGGAGGCGGCGGCTATTTGGAGCCGACGCATCAGGCTAATGCCATTGTCTCGCACTGAGTTAGCCACGCCCCCAGAAAAGCAAAAACAAAACCCCTCACCACCCTCCATTCTCTTTCCCATCAGCTGACAGCCATAAGTCAGGCGTGAAACGTGACGGACAAGTGCCAAGCGATAACAACAACAACAGCCCATAAGAAGAAGAAGTAGAAGAAGACGATGATGATAAACATGCGACAACAACATTAGCATTAAGCTAAGCTTAGAGTGTGGCAATCGGTAATCGATAAATGGTAAACATTCAATAATTATCCACGATTTGAGAGCAAATTTCGATAATTATTAATCGGTTATGGATAGTCGGACGGCAGTAAACGGTGATCGATAGGCGATAATCGAAAATCAATTATTTATAGCTTGTAAACAATTGTCGATAGTTGCAAATTGATTTGACCAGCAATCCATAGACGATTCAGGATCATCGATAATCGATTATTTATAATATGTCAACATCTATGTGTAAGTGATAATCGATTATGAGTAATTAATAATAATCGATGATTGATCGACGATAGCGATAACGGTGCTTTGCATTACAAGAGCAAGACAAACAAATTTTGAGAAGAAACAACAACAACTATTCGTTTTAAGCTCCCGCTTCCCCCTCTTAAATATATTGTAACCATTTTGTAGTTTTAGCATTAAGTAAATTAATTAAACTTAAGCATAAATCTAGTTTAATACCAAAGTTAAAAAATATCATAAATGTAAATTTCCAGCTGCGCGAGAAGAAAAAAATGAAACGAAATAAAAAACTGAAATAAAACAAATTTTTTTTGGGCTGATGACATTTTACAACACTATTTCTATTTCTGCTGGTAAAACTGCATGTGCATGTGCATGTGCATGTGATCTACTTACTACACAGACTACATGCATTCAAATATGTGTGTGTGTGCCTTCACACGATATATGTATGTATGTATAATATTTAAGCTCCATTCTCTTGTGAAATTATATTGTGTTACTCTCTGTTCGTGTGAATGACTTTTTAATTCAAAATAAGCCTATCAATAAAAACAAAAAACTACAAACATCAAAAATAATATTTTTTTATGATATTTTTTACCATTAGCTTTTTCTCAGATCTAACTATCTTAGCTCTACCTGTAGCAGCTAAAATTCCGTTGAAGCTTTTGACTGCGCGTTTAGTCTAGTTAACAACCATTGCTGTTGCGATGTGTCACTGCTAAATGCGGATGGGTTCTTGTCTTGGCTGTGCAATGGTTGGCTACAGTGCAAGCAAAAATAAAGTGACAGTTGAGCGCTTAATTTAATGAACTGAAAATTAATATATGTGTGTGTCTATATTTATACAGCTATTGTGAAATATGTATAAATAATATATCATATTATAATGATCAATTTAAATGCAGTGTACCCGGAACAATTTTAACATGCTGCATTACACTGTTCGCCGAAATATTGATGCATGTGTCGAAAATATGGGTTATAGTGCTTGAGTAGCTTACAGTCGAGACCAAAATATTGATGCACCTGTCAAAAATATTAGTTACACTACGCAGCATACATTCCTGGCCAATATATTGGATACACTGTACTTGTGTGTAAATCATGAAATTGTTCGATTATATTTTACTATAGATGCGTGCATTACATGAAGTTTAAATATGGCTTAAGAGCTAATATAGAATATTTGATACGTTTAAACAGATATGTAAAAAATGTAACAAGAATTGGTTAACTTTAGTCGTTCGTTTTCTCTTTTTTATGTGAGTGCTTAGAATAGGGTCTCTCTCATGGGCTTGTGAACTGGAACGCTGCGCTCGCCATCGCTGGCAGAGCTGGAGCTGTCGTTGGCAGCGGCAGCGCTAAAATTGCCGCTTACCCGGCGCGTGGATGAGTTCTTTCGCTTCTTGCGCATGCCACGCTCCAGATCGATCTCCGCGGCGGATGTGGAGACATTTGAGCGAGTGTCATCGTCAGGCAAGGAGGCGATATCTGGTGCAGCGACCTCCTGGAAGTCACTGGCTATGGTTGACGTGGACCCAGGTCTCTTCTGGGCATTGCTGAAGTAATCCTCCACGGCGGGATCCAGCTGGGCAGAGGCCCGCTGATTGTGCTCCATTGTGTACACCTGGGCGCTCACCTGCACGCTGGTTGGCGTCTTGGGCTTGCGTCTGGCAAAGGGACTGCCTGGCTTGCTGCCGATACTATCGCAATCGGGATCGGTGAGGAACTCCACACTGTTGGCCACAAAATTGATGCGCTTAAAGGGCGGTATCTCCGCTATCTTTGGCTTCCTCTTCGTATACGGACTGTTCTCGTAGCTCTGGAAGTTGCCAATTTGCTCGGCACTCTGCAAGTTTTGCGTCTTGAGATGTGCAGCCGGAAAACGCGAGTCCTCGATGCTGAAGCGTCGACTGCCCGACTGCGTACTGTATTCCATATATCCAGTGCGACGATGTGGCTGATATTGTGCCGTTCTCTCCTTGTCCCGGTTGGAGAGCATTTCGACGCTGCGAAATCTTTGACGCGAGTCCAGCTGCAGTTCCTCCTCGCCGCCCGAGTTGTCGTCATCTGCCTGCGTCTGGCTACGGCGCAGCTGCTTGCGATTGCGCTGCGCAGCGGACAGATCCAACATGGACTTGGCTGGACGCTCCAGCTTGGGCATACGCAATGCATCCTCATAGGAYGGCAACAGGCTAATCTCCTGCTGCTGCTGCAACGTGGCTGACGACTCCTCGCGCAGCATGCGTTCGTTGATATCGCGTCTGATGGGTTTGGAAGAGATTGGGGATTTCAAGGATTATTATATATCGATATAGTATATATCTGTTCGTATATATGTACGTATATAACTGTCTCTCAGTCTATTTGCAAGTCTGCCTCATTGTATCATTATATCAGAATATCATTTATCTAGTCTATATGTATGCAGCAGTATTCATTTGGTATTTAGTTGTTGAAGCAGCCGAGAGAGTTCCCATTGGTCAGTTGAAGCTTGACTGTAACGACCTCTACCTGTCGTAGGTCTTCAGATTTGAGCGCTTAGGCTCTGAGTGTAAGTCGCCCTATATAAAGGGCAGACTTACACTCAGCATTTCTTTAGTCACCCAAGCCCGGTAGGGGTCATTCGTGCGGTGCAGTAAAGTCAAGTAAAGTGAAATAATGTGAAGTGTATGATCGTTGAGCTAAACATTAAAGACTTGGAGGAAATGTTTCGACGAAATAGTTAAAAGAAATACTTAAAGGAATCAGAGGAAATACTTAGAGGAATCACAACAAAAATCGAAATTCTATAAAATTCTTCCAAATTCATTATGACTTCCCATTTTCAATGGGTTCAGGGTATAAAAAGGTTAGAAAAGGTTATTGGAATATGTGATAACAGATTTGTGTTCTACTGCATAATATAATTAATTTAAACTGGTGTTATTATGAGTTTCTCATATGCTACCAGAGTTAACATCTCATAGTTTGTGTGACCTTACATTATAACTGTATTACTCGCAAGGCTGCTGCTATTATTGGACTTGTAATATTTCATAGCTATTGCTAATATTTTGTAGTCAACTGTAAAAACTTACATGCGTTGCAGTTCGTCATGGTTGGCATTATATTCCCTGCGATTCTGTCGTTGCTTATGCTTACGCATCATCTTCTGAAAGCAGCCAAAGAGTAGAGCCAGCACACCTAGGCCCAGAATGGAGAGCATTATGGTCGACCAGACCTTCTCCCCGCTGCTGTTGCGCGCACTCACTGTCCAGTCGGAGAGGCAGGCATAGTCCCACAATTGGCCATAGAAGTTGGCCGGCGAGGCACAGCGCAAATTGTGACGGTCCTTGAGCTAAGCAAGAAGATCATTAGTTAACTTATTATTGATCACATTAAAGGCGAGAGAGCAGTGTGAGTCACCTTGGCCGGCTTAGCTGTGAGATAGTCATAGAACTCGACGAATAGCGGATTCTGGCATTCGCATATCCAGGGATTGTCGCCCAACCAGATCTGATCGAGAAATTTGTTCGCTCGAAAATGTCCAGGTGGAATGGGGTTGATCAAGCGATTGCCATTCAAATGTAGATCCGCTAGCTCGGGAAAGCCACTGAAACTGTTGTTTCTTATCGTTGATAGCCTGCAGAGGAGAAGAGGGTAGGGAAAGAGTTTAGATGTGACTTGAAGTGAACATGACAACAGAAGAAGAAGAGAAGATATGATGAATAATAGTTATATCAATTGTATTAAAAACTGATAATTATTAATCGGCTTCGATAGACTCTGGAAATTTTGATAAGCTCTAGATATGAGAGTGAAAATTCTGAGAGAAGTTCGATGTAAAATATCGCTACTGTTGCACTTGTTGCTTCTGAGGTAGAGGACGGTACTAAAGGAGCTACCGACAGAGATACGGAAGGAGGTACTGAAGGAGATACTGAAGGAACTGATGATAAAACGTCTTCTATCTGCCTGTTACAATGGATTCAAGGTTGAGTTTCTACTACCATGAAGTAGCTGGATTTACTTAGTAGTGATAGTAAAGTGAGGTTAAGGTCAAGGCCACTACAAACACCAAGGGAATTTCCTTTTAAGCCTTATAAGCCTATACCTATGGATAGCTATCTGTCTATCTATCTATCTACCTGTGTATCTATCTATCTATCTACCTATATATCTATTTAACATAGAATCTCACCTGCAGTTGGCTAGATTCAGATGTTGCAGCGTTTCCGAGCGCATCAAACTGGGAAAATAGCTTATCAGATTATTGGACAAGTCCAGGCGTTGTATAGCCGATAGGCCAGTTAGCGCCGTGTTCTCAATGACGCTGATTTCGCACCAGCTCAGGTCAATGACGCGCACCGAATTGGAGACGATCTTCGTTAGCTTCTGTATGATATTGCGACTCATATTGAGCTCCAAGAGCACATCGTTGCCACTGATGAGATTGCGATCCAGATGAGCAATCTCATTGTAGGCCAAGTTGAGGTGTTTGAGGCGCTTCAAGGGATTGAATGCGGCATTGCCAATGAAGCGCAGCACATTTTGGGAGAGATCAACCAGCTCCAACAGCGTGTTGTTGGCGAATGTATACTGGTCCACCGAACGTAGGAGATTGCCCCGCAAACGCACCTCCACGAGGACGGGCAGGCCACTCAAGTCGATTTGATCCAGATTGCAATAGGAAAGATCCAAATTGCGCAGCTCCAAGCCGACAATCAGATCCTCCTCCCAGCCGAACTGCAGCGCTGTGTTGTGCGACAGATTGAGCACCTCCAGATTGTAGAGGGCCTCAATGAACATGGAGTTGAGGCGCTGCATGTTGCAGTTGCTCATGTCCAGCTCGAGAAGACTTCGCGATGGCAAACGCGCCAGTTGAGCCAGCTGATTGTTGGCCAGGGAAAGGCGCTGCAGATTGGGCAGCTGATTGATCAGCACATCGCCGCCCACAATGGTAATCTGTGCCGCAGACAGATCCAGTTCATTGAGGGATTGGCTGTTCAGCTGCTCGCTGGCAACGTCGCCGCCAAAGTTGCCCAAACTGTTGCCGCTCAGGCTCAGCCTCTTCAGGCTGGGCGCATACTTGAAGGCCTCGTTGGGATTGATGTGCGACCAGTCGGTAATCGAATTGTTGGCCAGCAGCAAGGTGCGCAGTGAGGTGAACCCGATCAGCGCATCCGCAGCCAGATTAGCTATGCGATTGTCCGACAAATCCAGATAGAGCAGCGAATCCATATCGGCATACTGTCGTGGAAATTCCGTAAAGTCATTGAAGGAGAGATCCAAATGCTCCACGGGTATATCATTAAAGTTCGGATAGCTGCGCAAGCCGCGTCGCGAGCAATTCGCATAGAGGCTATCGATGATCCAGCGGCATTTGCAGACGGTCGGACAGTCGACAGCAGCTGAGCAGCCAAAGAGTCCCGTTAAGACGATCGCCAGCAACAGCAGCTGCATTTTGTAGAGGAAAATACCTGCAAGAGTGGGAAAGCAGGAAAATGTGCAATTTTGTAGTTATGCTATTATTAATTTGTAAAGCACAATCAGCTGTAGAGCTGGTTGACTATAGAGCCTATTGTATGGTTGCTTTCTCAATTCACAGTCCGTTTATTGCGCATGCATTTTATTGAACGCTTATCAGCAAAAAGTTAAGCTAGCGTCTGAATACGAAACCGATGGAGCAGACACCCTGCAAAAGCTATAATGAGTAATTCAGTGCAATATAACTTGTTTCTATCATCTATATATCTTTTGGTTCGAATTGGCAATGCAAAAAGGTGAACGGAAGTATAGAATAATAAACGAAAGGTCGAATCAGTTGTATGAAGCGAATAGCTGGGCAAAGGGATGGATGGATTGGGGTTGGCGATTCGATTGGTTAGACGTTCTGGATATATTTCCTTTGTAAACGTTGAGGCCATGCATTTATTTACCAATCTACAAGCCAATCCACAAACGAAGAGGTCTATAGGCTGTATAAATAGGTAACGATATAGTTTTTTTTAGAACACTCGACTTTGCTCAGTCCAAAAGTCATAAATTTCTTTACAGAAACTGTCACAAATTCCTTAGAGCCTGAAGATTCTCTTGTATTACATTCACATATTAAGTATTCGATTCGCATAGATCTGATTTGAGATATATAACTATCCATTTATACACACAAATTTGATTTCCTTTAAATGTCGCACAACTAAATATAAATATTGAAATAATGAGAGATTGTAACACACTATGGATTTTCAAGTCAAGTCTCGTACACGCACTCAAGCAAACCACCCGTTCCTCACTCAATCACAGGGTATACACAAAATGAGGCCCACAAATGGCAAATGATTTGTATCTGCATTTGGCTAAATAAAGACGAAAATTTCAACGCAATTGTCAACTGCGTCGCATTAGACTCGATTTAATAAAGAATTCGCTTAGTGCTCGTGACGTCACAATTGTATCTCATTCACCTGCTAAGAAATATTATTATTATGWGCCCCGCAATGTTGCTCTATGGGAGAGTCGAGGCGAGGCGAGGCAACTCGCGTTATCTTATCGATGCTTGGCAGGAATGGGGGAGTTTTCTTCCAAATGTGGAGCAAACCAAACACAAAACACAACAAGTTTTTATACAGAATTTAGTGAACTTTTCGGTTATTTTGAAACACTTGACGTGTTTGGTGACCTTTGCGGATTAGTTGTCTACATTTTTTGAAGGGCCTTCGAATCACATGCGCGCCTTATAGATATATATTATATATATTATTGTTTACTGTTGTAATGGTATTTTTTTGCCTATGTGCAATCTCTAGCCAATGCCGTTTAATACTGAGTGAATGAATAAAATTACTCACCTGCAGCTACGGCAACAGCAACCGTTTTTATTTGATAAGATAAGCCGGGCGATAAGGCTGAACAGTGCTAGACAATCGCGGAAGCTTGTTGCTGTGTTGTAAACTGCTCAAATATCGCAAGAGCAAAATAATACCAAAAAAAAAAAAAAAACTTGAGCAAAGTGGGTCAAGTTTAATTTATGATTGATGGATGAGGCTGTCAGCTAGAATAGTTACCAAATGACCCATACTAAGTAATTAATGAAATATATATTGTAGAGGTATAAACTAATAGTAATTTATTACATTTGGCATGTGACATAATAATAAGCAATATTATTAAAT